ATAGGGAAGGAGACTAATGCCAGATTAGTAGAAAGTGACAACTGAGAAATAGGCACAAGGTAAATGTAATTTAAAGTAATGAAGCTTTCATAAAGAGAGATTCCATAAATATAAAGAGATATTCATATATTCTTTTATGTTAAAAAATGCAATCCCACCTTGAAACTCTCTTGTTCATGTCAATAATTTTTTTTTGAAGAGAAAAGAACAAAAACAAAATAACAAAAACAAAGACAAAAATAGAGCAACACAAAAACTATAAAAGTGATACAGAATTTCAAAACAAGATGATAGGAAATCAGCAATGGTTGTTGTATTACTTATTATTATCTTCAAAGTAGTTGCTCAAATTACCAGATATAGGTATGGAAGATTGATCAAACAATTAAGCATTAACTGTTCCTTTCAATAAACCAATAGAAACTAGCAGTACAATTATCTTAGCTGTCTTGCGTCTATATAAATATACACATTTTTCCCTTCCTTCCTTCTTTCTTTTCTCCTTTCCCTCATCCCAGTTGTTCTTTCCCATTGAGCCTTTCAGTTATATTTACTTTTTCAGGTTCTTACACTAGGGAGACAATACGGTATTTACACATGCTGGTCTGATTTATTTCACTTAGGAGTATGGTCTCTAATTGCATCCATTTACCTATAAAAGCCTCGAGTTTATCTCAATAAAAATTATTTATATATAATATGAAACTTAAGTAACTTGAACAATTAATGATTAAGTACTCACTACGGTGATGTGAGAATTGTGCACAAATTCACCCACCCTCTTATGGTCTCAAGGCACGCATGGCCTGCGCATGAACAGTTCAACATGCTCAGTGTAAACCTATGTGAGGAAAGTTCGGAAAAGAGTGTTTAGTTCTTCCTGTGGGAAGAGGACAGGGATGAGTGTAGAAATCTTCTCCAGGGTTACAAATCAATTGTCGACAATGTGAAATAATCTCATAGATGGAAGAACTGAGATGTGGGCAAAGCAATGGGAGGGGTGTAAACATCAGAGAGTGCACTCCTGCTTCCATGAATTCATGTCCACAGTTCTAAAAATGTAGCATGTATATCCACACAGTCATGAGAAACCTGTTTGGCACCTGTGCAATATACACAGGAGGTGCTATTTCAGATGGGTTATGAAGCAGGTAGAGAAGGAGAATAACTGAAATCCTACCTACCCTGAATAGTTTGCTGAGATCAAGAGGTGGAGGTACAGTAACTGGAATGTACAGCTAGTATAAGTGGCCCAAAGAGTGAACGATAAAGCAGTAGGGCCATGAATGCAACATTAAGTTCGGACGTCATGAGGCAAGGAATACCCCAGCACTAAGGTTCGTGAGTCTTTCCCAGCATCATTTTCAAGGGTTTCATTGTTTTTCAACTTTATATAAAAACAGGTATATCATTATGAAGATGTTTCTTTAATTCACAGCACTACAATGTCCTCTGTTGTGAGACAAATCTGGTGGAATTACTACGATGGAAAATATAAAAACTTACAAAAACCTGTTCAATAAACTGTTCTGATATTTATACACATCTGGTTATTTAATAGTATGAATAACTCAGGACATACAGGTGATATTGTATTTTTTAGCTAGAGTTTTATATATTCTATGGTTCTTCAAACCGATTCAGTAATGAAATGCTAATAATTTCACATTAGTGCTTCTTTCTACATACCATGCACTGAGCTAACTGTATCATTTCATATCTTTACACTTGGTCCTCACAAAAATGTTACTGCTATGACTGGTGTTACCTGATTTTATGAGTGAAGTGGAGGGTGACAGAGATCAAATAATGTCCCCAAAGGCACAGAGCCGGTAAGTAAGTGTGTCAGTGTTTACCCAGGCAGTGTCTCTCCGGATGTGTACTCTGTGTAGGGACAGCACACTGTGAATCAGCAGACAGCTAGAGTTGACCTTCATCACCCTTTGAATGAGACATTCTCTCTTTTGTGAATGTTGGAGACCATTTCCTTCTCCTTGACCTCCAGGTCTTCTCTGCATTTGTTACAGGGGGCCATCCCCATAATTCTTACCACTGATTTTATGATTTTTATTTATTTAATGCTCTTTTTAACCCTAGGCTACTTATTACTAGACAGAACTATTGGTGAAAGATGAACTTTCCTTTCTTGGTCCTACTTCCTCAACTCCCATTTTGACTACTACCAGACTTCTTTTAAATCTTCTGTTCTCCCTGGACCTAAGTGGTAGAAGGCTCATACATCCTCTTGAATTTGCCACTACCTTTTTAATGTAAGAGGAAAAAAAAACCCCGGTACATCAGAAGAGAGGCAAAAATCTGAAATACAGTTTACATATTTCAAAGTAGTTTTGTGATTATTTGTACATTGATCATGGTAAGTGTGATCAATATTCCTTGGTGACTTAGCTATTCTGGGCTTTTGCATAGTTTCTTACAGCTCAGGGATAGTTTCTAAACTAACATTTCTGGAATAGCACATGAGCAACGGTTATTTAGAAAGATTTTCATCTGCTGCTCTATTAGAAAAATTACATTCTTGCATGTTTTAACACATTCATGTCCAAGTCCAGTATTCAGGATCGTTTGGATGTTGATTATTTTGACATAACATTTGCCAAGTACAGAGGCCAATGTTTCTTACTGGATACATGAAATTACCTATGGCTAAACACAGATCATTTCACAGAGCTCAGTTTATGGTGTATTTTCCCTTATCGTTTTGAAATTGGTAACAAATTTCTTCCATCAACATGCCTGCGCTCATGTTGTTTGTGTAGAGGCACAGCTTCTCCAGAGCCTCAGGCACTGCACTTTCAAATGTCAGCAGCTATTAGCTCTGCACATTCATCTTTATTTCCTCATCTCTCCTGAGCAGTCTGAATCTCTCAAAGGTGATTCCAGGTGACTTAAAGTAACATAGGAGTGTGTGTGTGTGTGTGTGTGTGTGTGTGTGTGTGCGCGCACATGCACATGTGCACCTGTGTGTGTGTGATGCATGCTCTTACAAATAAGACATTATTGGTATCTTTTATTTTGCAACTGCCTATGTGTAAACCTTTTTGGATCTCTCAAAACGCCTAGAGTAAAGCATACATATTGCTTATGATCAACACAGGCAAATTTCATTTTAAGATTATCAATTTATCTTAGTTTTCTTATGCCTATACTTTAATGGAAGCATTTTTTCAGAGAGAGAATATGACGTATTTCAAGGCGCAACACAAACATCATAATGTTCTTTTTAGCAAGAACTTCCAAGTGAAGTTTCCCTAAGCTTTGTTTCTATCACTGTATATATAATTAATGATGTGTGTGTGGTGTACGTTTGTACCTTATTTTTGCAGTTAGGCATATGAGAACATTTGTTTTGAGTCCAACTTTCCTGTTTCTCCACCTCTGGCCAAACTTTATCTGAAAATATTTTGCGTGTTGCATGTGTAATCTTTATAAACAAGGAAGTTCAACTTGTGCCAAGCACCTGTACCATGTAACCAGGCACATTGTTTCTTTGAACACTGCAAAAATGTTTATATAACAGAGCACACAAACTAGCCAAACTAGTGCCTGATCCAGAACCAACAGGCTGGAGAATCAGAAATCTGCTTTCATAAAGCAGAAACATTTACTCAAAGTAATCAAATTAATTTTTAGTGTTGCATAACCGCTACAGCTGAAGGACCAGTGTTGCCTATCACCTTCTTTAGGTTTAGGAAAACAAGAACTAGAAAAGAGGTCATCATTATGCCACCATCTTCTTCTTGACTACTAATACTAGGTCAAAACCTGTCTCTTCACACTTATATTTCTCTTAACCAAACATATAGAACGCATTTGTTATAATCAAACAAAATAAAGTGAGTTGGAGATGGTTTAGAATTTGTAAACTACTTCATATAAATATAAGGTAATCCCATTACTGATTTTTACTTAAGAAAATATTTCCTGGAAAAGAGAAACAGTATTTTGCCAGACCACTGTTTAACAATTACCACTGCAGCATGGATTGGTTGGAGAATTTTACTGCATTTATTCTGATCTACTCATTGCCCCCATATTTCTTGGAAACAAGGCCTCATTGTGAGGGTCTACTTCACTTTGCTGGAGTGGTTATAGGTTGTGAAAGAGAATTATGCTATTAATTTTTAAAGGGAGTATTTTATGATAGATGCTTTTTTATCTTTTTAAAGATTCTCATACTTAAAATTTCACTTACCTGTTGAAAAAGCCTTATTTTTTCATATCTTAATTACTTAGGTTATAAGTAATTACATCAGCTACACATTTATGTGGTAACAGAGAATCTAAATAGATATCTTGAATGTTAGTGGTGATCCTTGACAAGAACTCAGAAGACTGTTAGGAAATTGGCTAATATTAAAAATGTATGAGCATTACACAGAGTATGAGTGGTAATGCAGAGGATGTTAGAATTAAGTAAAAAATATAAATTATACATTTAAAGAGAAATACAGGATCATTATCTTTGAGTATATAGCTTCTTCCAAGTTATAGATCTTTGTATACATTTTATTAACCAGACTTAAAAGATCTACTTAGCCTATTGGTTATATGTAAATTGATATCAATAATGTATAAAAGTCACTTATCTTTAAGCAGTAAGATATTCTCCCTGAAACTCTGTAGTCAAACAATGCATCTCAATGTTTCTAAAAATGCTCCTCAATATGAGGTAAAGCTTGACCCTAATTACAAGATCAAAACAGTATGTTATTTTTTAAAAACATACATTTATGGCCATGAATACACTTAATATTGAATTTATTGATTTCTTTTTACCCCAAGGAGAAAATAGCAATGGATCACAGTTGCCTACTGTTGCCAGGGAGAACGTACACCTGTATGCAGCTCTACCGATTGCTCTAAGTTCAATTCCTAGAGTATCAACAAATTGCAAAGAAAACACAGAGGGAGTAATGACTTAGCTGATTCCTCAAAAGCCTTCTGATTGCCAGGAGAACAAATGTTTCCGTGGGCCTTACCTGCAATGCACAACCATCGGACCTGCATCAGGAGGGTTACAGGTTTTGACTCTCCGTAAGAAAGCCAGAAAAGGCGTGGGGTGCTCTGGAACACCATGATCAGGCCAAGCAGTGAACTGGAATTGTCTCACTTCTCTCTTCTCACTTGAACCATTCTGCGACACAGGAACACAGGTTGAAGTCGCTCTCTCTACCCCAGTGGCAATGATAAGTCACACCGCTAAGACATGGTACCGTAACCGCCCCTCCATCCTTTTAGGAGGGACATACTTTGGAGATATAAACCCCAAGCTGTCTGTAAATGACAACTAGTTGCTCAGGAAGATAAAATTCTTTGGTGAGAAGCAATCTATTGTTCAGGGCTAACCATCAGAAACGCTCCTGCTACATTTTATGAAAAGAACTAGTGCTTTTTCATCTATTTTTCATTTGCTGCAACTTTTGTTTAGAGCACAAGTTTCATATTTACTGATAAATTGCCAAACTGGGAGAAGAATTGTTGGGCGATAATGGAAGAATTATTTCACTCTTTACTGTTGCCAGTGGGATCAAGATTTAAGTAAAGGTTGGAGAGATTTGATTTCTCAAAAGAAGTTTTCTTTAAATAAAAGAGAAGGCAAAAAGACAAAACACAAACCTTGTAAAGTGCAAATGTTCGCACGCAGTATGTGGCCAGCTCCACAGTGTCCAGCAGCGTCACCTGGACTAGTCCGTGGGTCTCTGTGCCTCTGGTAGGCCAATATTGGTCACACTTCACCTATAAAAAACAAGTGACACATTCAGGGTAGATGCTTATCAGTTTCTCCGTTAGCTTTACTTTGAGTTGCTGCTAAAGGAAAACAGCTTTTTTGCATTTCATTTTCTGTTGATCTTTTCTGGCATGCATTCTTGTTATCCCAATATATGTAAATTACTGCTCTGATGCCAATATAAACCACATTTTTCAAACTGGTAGGAATATTAAGCAGTAACAGATTCAATTTTACTAAGAAAAATTAGTTGCAGATTGTTGCTCAGTAAAATGAGAGAGGTATTTGAAATTTCAGAGTGTGTGGGGAAAAAACACAAATTTGTCTGGGATATATGTTATGATTCCCATCAAGAAAATTACATGTAGGCATTTTAAACTACAGGGTGAGATAGTATTCATCCATCAAGAGCTAAAAGGCACAAGCTATTTCATCTTACACAATTACAATTTCCAAATATGCTTGTTTAAAGAAAAGTAGAAATAATTTGAAAATCTACAAAAGTATCATAAACAACATACGCATATATTTTTCAGAAAAATACAAGATAAATGATATGTGTGTCCAAAAGAAATTAAACCTGTAGTCTCTAGTAGGAAAAGATCTGTTTTTTAAAAATGGTCTCAGAGGGTAGTCCACTAACAGTACAAAGTTTAAATAATTTAAATTTCATTTGAGATGAATAATCTACAATTTCTATGTGGAGTGGAACAAGAGCACAAAAAAATATTCAACTCAATTAGCTTCACATGCAACAAAGCATAATTCCAAGTCTGCAGTAAGCCTCAAATTTACTGAATGTGTCTGCTGGGCATAAGAAAGCATAATGAAAAATGACAAAAACAGTACTATATTTTCTGGCAAGACCATAGATCAAAATACATTTACCCTTTCTATCTTGGATTAAGAGAAAAATGGGAGTGATTTCTAACTGAAAGCAAATAAAATGCATTTTTGTAGGTAAAGACAACTGCTAGTACTATTTTAAATTAGAAAGCATAGTCTTTATTTGAAAAAGAAAGTCCGGCAAAAGTACAGTCTTTTGGCTTAAACAAAGGCAATCAGGCATTATTAACATAGATGCTAGAACTTTTTGGTTCAGTATTTAACAATATTAGATAATTATTTATTTTATGTTCAATATAAATATTAACAGCATTCTGTGAATAATATAATTTGTCACTAAGAAATGACAGTACCTACTTCTTGGAGAACTCAGATTTATTCCATGTAGATAATGGACCTTATAAAAAGATAGAGGTTTGATCCTCTATACAATTTTCTCTGCATAAAAAGGAAAGAAACTTACTGCATGTTTATCTGTTAAAACAGAAATGAAATTATCAAGGTTTGATTTTTGCTCTTTTCTTTCAACTGTGAGAGCACATAAACGTCACCTTTTTGATGAAAAACAAAAGGGTTTAATAACACAGAAATTTTGTGTTTTAATAGGGAAAACTATTTTGCATGTTTCCTAAATGCACAAAATATGCTTGTGTTTTTATTTCTACCATATGCTCTTACTCAAAGAGAAGAGAACAAAAAGGAAAAACAGTTCTTCAAGAAGCATACTGATCCAGCATGACCCAGGTTGATCACCTATTATGTTCTCCGACCCCCTGTTCAATCCGGGGTTGTGTCTGACATAAATAGCGAAGACTATCGCTTGAAAGGAATCAATGCTACTTAAGTAGTGATGATTCAGATGGAAGGGAAATTACAAAAAATTAGGCCTAAAGCTTCATTTGAGACCATGTAGTAGATGTGAAGCTGGTGCCTTGCTGCACAGGATAAAAGGAAATTTGTAGGCTTCACACTGCAATTATCAAGAAAGAAGATGCCAGAAATGTGTTGAGTTTAAAGACCTGAGAGAAAACTGAAACTGATTGTTTAACAATTTCTGCTGGACAGCAACTGTATGAAATCAAAAACAACGGATAAAATCCTATGAGGAAAAATATCACTGTGATATACACAAAAACATCACAGTAATGCAACAAAATGATATCTAAGGTCAGTTCAGTATACTGAACCAAACTCAGTCTAGTTATATTTCAGAACTAGGAGCTGGTTATACTCAGACAATTATAGAGGTAAGATATAGGAGATGAGGAACCAGCCTTTACGTAACTGTCAGAAAAATCACTCAATGGTTAAATAATTCTCTACAAATCTGTCCCACCCATAAACTATACAAAAACTAAAATGCAACTAACTATAATATGTTCATACTTCTATAATAAGTTAGGACTGTTAGCATCATCTTAGTATAGAGAGTAAAAGCAATGAAAAGCTCTAGCAAAAAGGAGAAAACAAATTGCTTTCGTACTCAGTGTAAATAATGTACTTTAATCTTACTCGTTTTCAAAAAGAGATGTTTTGAAATGTTTCATTCAGATGAAACTGCAAATTTGGGAGCAATTTTTAAAGCAAATATATCTAAACATTGCCCTTTCACTCAGGAAATCTTTTTCAAAGGGAGCTGATGAGAAAAAATCGTCTAACCCAGGTGGACATGCACACGGAAGGTCTCTGCAGAGGGATTCGATGCTTCCCCTGAGTTTATCTGAACATTGACAGAGACATATGCTTCCCTCTGGCCGTCAGCCCCTGGGTACTTCCGTTTTCAACCCCATTCCCCCAGTGCCCTGCACAGGTTCACCTGCTTTCAGGGAGGGAGATTTCACAGCTTACCTTCCTGGCAAATATTATTTTAAGGTTTCCATTTTCAGCCACATGGTGTACAAATAATTTGTGATTTCAATATTAGAGTGTGGGTATAAAAGGTAGTGAGCAAAAGAGGACCCAGAGCAATAGAAATGATTGTTTTTCTAATTAGCTACTGCAAATGAACTAGGTCTATTTTCTTCTCTTGAAATGTTTTGCTCTGACAACAGCTCCTCTCCAACGTGGGTATCCTGTGAGAAAAAATCTCATAGGCTGTTCCTAGAGAGTTACTAACTGCAAGGCTTCATGCAGGAGCTGAGGGTGAGAATGAAGGAAAGCGCTCCCTCTGAGTGTGTCAGAACTAGAAAGCTGCAGCTACTGAATACAAATACTGACTTCTGCCTTTATTGCTATCATTATTTAAATTTCATGGTGACTAAAAGAAGCTTCAGGATGGAGTCAAGGAAGGTCAGGCAGTCTCATGGATGATCAAAAAGCTGCTTTTCGGGGCTGGGGATTTAGCTCAGCGGCAAAGCGCCTGCCTGGCAAGCGCAAGGTTGTGAGTTCGGTTCCCGGTACCGGAGAAAAACCAAAAAAAAAAAAAAAAAAAGCTGCTTTTCTATTTCTAGGACTGAAGCCTAGAAAAATGAGAATGGTATCTCTGACATCTCATGCCCAGGGCAATGATAGACAATGAGGTCCAAACGTCCTAATGGCCACTTCAAACAGCCATTCAACAGGTGCTAGCTATTACTGATTATCGGACTTTTGGGTGGCTATGAGAAATATGCAAAAAGGGAACACGTTGTTAATTTCAGTAGATACTGATTCAGGACAGTATAGGTGTGAGCAAGGCAAGAATTTAGCAGCTGTGGGGATACCAAGGTGAACCCAGATAGTCCCTGGTCTAATCCCTCGACCTTGATGACTACATATGATGAGGTAGTTCAGACCTCCTTCTTCAAGGAGGCAGCATGAAATTCCAAAGCATTTCCCTCATCTACCTGGGCTCCAGTCTGTTGTGAGAAGAAAATGCGTCAGATCCTGGTGCGGGAAAGGACGGCAGCAGAACCTTTTCCCCAGTACTGCTTTAGGGAAACATCACCGAGGAGCCACTTGAGGGCTAAGCTGAAGATGGTTTAAATATGGAGCTCAATTTGAGAGAACTGTTTCCTTCTATACTTGGAGAGTGATTAGCCTCATACTGAGGTTTCATTTTTCTAAAGTTATGCAAAGCATAGGTCAGCTACCACTAAATATATGCTATGGAATTAAGTGCCTTTACTGTTTTCATGATAAATGATCTAAAGTTCAGTTGCGGAAGGATAAAACATTTAAACATATTTAAGAGAAGATCTTGTCACTAGAAATAGCTAATAGGAGATGATGCAATAGGACTGCTCACTATGCTCTGGGAAATGCTGTCATTCTCGGGCATCTTTCCTCCCGTATGGCTTAGCTTAGAAGTGCTTGGCACATTTTAGACACTTAACAAAGATGGTCAACTTTGTAATCAATGCTACTGTGGTCTAGATTGGATTATTTTTACACTGCCTGAAACAATTTAAATTTCTGAAAACAAAACCATCTTATTTCCATTCACCAAAGACAGACTGAGCAGAGCAAAGCACCAGAATTCCAGCTGTAACAAACCTAAACCTCTGAAGAGTTCTAGCATCACTCATAGGGAACGTATTCGCTCCATGGCACTGTGAAAAGCCCACGTTGAGTCAGATTATTTAGCCAAACAAGGGCTTCAAATAGGAAACAAATAATATATAAGACACTATAACTATTGCTAAAAATAACTATAAATTCATATCTATGGTCGTAAGTTTGGGCTGAGTCATTGTCAAAGAGTCAGGATTCTGAGGACTGGATACATACATACCTACATACATATGTTAACACTAGAAAATTTAACTTAGTTATGCTGGTAACCATTTATTAACAGTCATTTAATAAAGGGCACTACAATAAAAGAAGCTAATTTCTATGAGTTATAATAACTTCTGGTGGTGTTTAAGGCCAGATTTAATATCTGATTTTCCACTATAAGGCCAGAGATCATCTCAATGACTTAACTCTTCTTCTTTTTTTTTTTTTTAAGCAATAATGTTATTCTGTGCACTCAACAAATATTTGGTCATATCTATTCCTAAAGGCAAAACAGGCTGCTTTGTGTATTTCCTTGTTTCATTTTATTTTTGCTGACTACTGCTCAGTGGAGGATCAAGAAGAAACAGAATCACTGAAATGACAGTGATATTAAAGCATCTGCCCACCAATGAAGTCATAGACATTCATGCACACAACCACAAAGTTGAAACATATTATACTC